AGAGAGTCCTTATTTGTAGTGTTTCCCAATTTCTGTGGTGTATCTACTCCCATGATGGACAGTTTCAAGCTCCGACGTCACCTACTGGATTCTGAATTGGGACATGACGTAATTGACTCTTGCAAGACAGTACAGCACACCACTGCCGTTCAAGAATAGTTCACCAAAATAAACTGTTTTGGGGGCACCAACAACACTGAGAATTAAGTAATTGGCCTGAATGTGTACAGTTAGTAAATGCTGGCGAGAAAAGTCAACTAGGCAGATAGTCCAGAGTCAGGTTCTCCATTGCTTTCCCTTGAAGTGGCTCCAGGCCTACTGTGAACATTAACAATATTAGGATGTTTGCTGAACACCACGAGTTCTAAACGTAATGGGGATGATTGTAGAAACAGGCCACAAGAAAAACATTCTAAAGAATCACTAACTCAGTATTCTTGTATGCCAAGAAATAGGGATGCCATTTTATGAAATTATAAGTGGTCGGGTTTCTTCACCATGTGGTAGAAATATGCTGTGTTACACTCCTGTTTCTGGGTCGTCTTTCTTCTGTTTTCCGTGCTTTTTTCCATTCCTAGTGCCTAAGATTGAAATGCCGTCAAAATAAATGGCAGTGCCTCCCCTAGCAGTCTCTTCCTGGAGAGCGAGTCCCAGATTAATTACTCAGTTGTCATAGACAATTAATTTATGCAAAATCAACTTAAAAAGACAACACGGTTTTTGACTTTCATTACTAATTGCAGTAGGATGAATAAGGTGAAATCATTTACTAATAATTCTACATTATATTATTTTCTACTATTCATATTGAAGGCTGTTTATTTTTTTTACTAAAATATCTGTAAAATTTGCCCAAACTAATTATTTTTCACAGTAAAGTTAAAATGCATATGTTGCTTACCTACACTAATTACAAAATACAATAATAAAACTGAATAAAAATTTAAATTAAAAAAATTATATTTATAAACATTATAAATTTCTAAACAAATTTATGTTTATAAATAAAAATAATAAATAGAAATAAAATTCATTCTGAGGTCATAAGCTTGTAAAATGATAATAACTACAAGATTTTTGTGAGAATTACATGAAATAATGTATGCAAACCACTTACTGTGCTGCTTGTCACATGATAAGCATTCAATAGTATTAATGATTATAATAGCAATATTATTTTGCTATCTAATGTAGTTACTTTTACTGGAAACTTTCCCATAGAATTAAACCGAAGTATAGGTAATACTGAATTACAGTAAATACTGAGTAAATCCTGTAGCGTTCACCCTCCTACCAGAATTGAGGGGTATCATCTCAGTGGAAGGTGAGTGACATCCCATTGAGGTGTAGGAGGAAAATCTAAGGACTTCTATCTAGATGAATTTTTAGGTAAATGATGTTAAAGGAACTACATTTTCTTGATTGTCCGTACATGGATGGAGCTTTCGTCAAGTTCATGCATCAGATGGGCGTGTCTTGTCCAGGATGCAGAATCTCCTGTGACAAAGTGAGCCTTCTACAATGGGGAAAGTTGACGGTGGTGTCCAGCCTACACTTTCAAACCTGATCCAGGCTCTTCCTCATCTGCATTAGGAGGGGGGACTTTTTGTCAGCTGACCAAAACAATTCACAATTACGAAGAGGGTGTTGAAATGTACATTCACTTTCATTTTGCTACCTGAAGATTTGCTGCTTGTGGCAAAGTACTTGGAAGAATTGTTGAATTCATAGATTACTTACACATGCTTCTTTCACAAAAAGATAAACATTCCAAATTTGCTGAACTTTTCTGATGACAGATGCAGTCAATATTTTGTTACTTAGCAGATATATTCAAAGAAATAAACAACATTCAATCTGAACTTTCAAATTGTGAGTGACATTAACATTGAATAAGAAAATAATTGCTTTTCCAAATAAACTCATGCTGTGAAGGGAGCACTTTGAAAACAGATGTTTGCAAGTATTTTCATTGTCATGTGACTTTTTTACTGTCACATGTATGTGTCACACATACAAATTACCACGTACCTTTAAAGACTGGGAGCAGAAATTTTTAAATAGCTTCACTGAGATTTATCAATATACAGTAAACTGCCAATGTTTATAGAGTGTACAATGAGACAAGTGTATATACACCGCCCCCTCATGAAACTATCACCACAATCAAGATAATGGATGTATCCACCACCCCCACAAGTTTCCGAATGCCCCTCTGTAATTCCTCCCTCATAACCCTCCCCATCTTCATCCTGCTGATCTGCATTCTGTCACTGTAAATTACTTTGCATTTTCTAGAATTATTTTATATAAATGGAATCATAAAATCTGGATTCCTTTTTCTCTGGCTTCTTTTACTCAGCATAATTATTCTGAGATTCGTCCATGGTATCACACATATAAACAGTTCATTCCTTTTTATTACTGAGTAGTATTCCATTGTATGGAAAAACTATAAACTGTTTATTTAGTGTCCTGTTGACAGACATTTGAGCTATTTTTAGTTTTTGGCTATTACAAGTAAAGCTGCAGTGAACATCTGTGCACAAGTCTTCGTATGGACACATGCTTTCATTTCCCTTGAGTCAATACCTAGATGTGGAGGGACTGGGTCATGATAGAGGGGAGTGTTTACTGTTGAAGAAACCAGCAAACTGTTTTCAAAAGTGGTCATAGCCTTGTGCATTCCCAGCATCATTGTGCGTGTCCAGTTCCTCCACGTTTGCCGTCTCCATGCTGTCTTTGGTGAAGTGTCTTCTCAACTCGTTTGCCCAATTTTTGTTTGTGATTGGGTTCTTATGAGTTTTGATAGTTCTTTATATATTCTAGATACAAGTCATTTATCAGATAGATTATTTGCAAATATTTGCTCCCAGTGTTTGGCTTGTCTTGTCATTCTCTCAAATAGTTTCTTTCTAAGAGCAGTTTTTAACTCTGAAGAAGTCCAATTTATCAGTTCTTCCTTTTATGATGATGCTGACAGCATTGTACCAAAGAAATGTTTGCCTAACCTAAAGTCACAAAGATTTTATCCTGTGTTGTCTTCAACATGTTTTATAGTTTTAGGTTTTACATCTAGGTCTATGATCCATTTTGAGTAAATTTTTACATATGGTTCAAGCTAAGGATTGGAATTTATTTATTGATTTATTTTACATATGGATGTCCAGTTGTTCCAGCACCATTTGTGCATAGACTCTCCTTTCTCCACTGTCTTGCCTCTGCATCCTTGTTGAAATTCAACTGACCATATACATTTGGGACTATTATGTCCTCTTGAGGAACTGACCCCTTTATCATTTGAAATGATCTTCTTTATCCTTGGTCATAGTCTTTGCTCTGAAACCTACTTTGTTGGACATTAATACAAACACTCTAACTTTCTTTTTTTGCTGAGGAAAATTCGCCCTGAGCTAACATCTGTCACCAATCTTCCTCTATTTTTATGTGGGTTGCCACCACAGCGTGGCCACCAGTGAGTAGTGTAAGTCTGCTCCTGGGATCTGAACCCAGGCCACTGAAGTGGAGTGAGCTGAACTTAACCACTAGGCCACAGGGCCGGCACCTCTAAATTTCTTTTGACTGGTGTTAAATGGTATCTTTTCCAGTCTTTCATTTTTACTCTGTGTCTTCGTATTTAAAGTAGGAGTCTTGTAAGCAGCATAAGTTAGGTGATTTTTTATTCAATCTGATAATCTTTGTCTTTTAACTGGGATATTTAAACCAGGCGCATTTTATGTTTAGGTGTAAATCCAGCATCTTGTTATTTCTTTCCTGTTTGTTTCATCTGTCCTTTATTCCCTTTACCTCTCTTTCTTCCTTTAGAATTGAATGCTTTTTATGATTTTATTTTATGAAACAACTTTGAACTGATTACAATCTTCCCCATGAAGAGTTTCATTGCTTTTGAATCGGTTTGATAATATATAAGGATGCAACTGATTCCTCTGCAGGATTAGCTGATTGACATCAGGGAAACTCTGAATTTCAACCACAAATCTTAGTGATTAGAGAATAAAACGATAAGTTACGAATAGCTGCCTTTGTTCCCTTTGGATCCACATATTCTCTGGCGTATCTTTCTCAAATAGTGTAACTGAACATCTAAATGTTGAAATAAATGAAACTGACCCAGACATTAACATCACTATCTTATGAAACAATAAAGAAAAAACTTGACAATCGATAACATACATTTTATTACAGGGCTTTCATTTTAAAGTATATAATTGTTTAGTAGGAACAAAGAGTCTTGTTCAGTAAATAAAATCCTTTAAAAATACATGCTGTTTAGTTTTATCTTTTCTAAATGTCTATTTTAGTTTATGTTTTATAATATAAATAATATATGAGCATGGTGCATGTGCATAGAATTGCTAAAGGAGTCCACACTTATTGGGAGTGCGTCTCCAGAATTCTTTTCCTGACAAAGGACTTCACAGACATTTCAGAGACTCTCTGGACTAGAGGACTTTGAGATCACCAAAATTATGCTAAATATTTTTTAAAAGAGACAGAAAAAATATCTTAACTCCCATTCATTTAGTCATGTCTTAGTCCATTCAGGTTGCTATAACAAAATACCACAAAGTGGGTGGCTTATAAACAACAGACGTTTTTTTCTCACAGTTCCTGTTGGTAGGAGTCCAAGAATAAGGCACCAGCCGATAAATACCCAGTAATCTCACTACCCAGAGATAATGTCTGATAAAAAGACACTTGTTTCAGAATCTAATAAGTCTTTTAAAACAGAGATAGTGTTTTTTAAAACTATTCGTTTTGTATCTTCAAAGTCATATGTGTGGATATGTTCAGTGTATGTGGAAATGGATAGTAATAGATAGAAATAGTAGTTAATGGGTAATAACAGTAGTTAATGGATGGTGATAGTATTTTCAATTATAGTTCTGATTCTTTTATACCAAATTCTGAACTTTAGTGATGTAATTATTTTAAACGTTCTTTCAATTTATTTTGTATTTACTGGATTTGCTTTCCAGATGTATCATAGAATCCGTCATTCAGAGTGCATTTATCGGGTCACTATGGAAAAGCTGTCCTATCATAGCATTTGTACTGCAGAAGAATGGCAGGGCCTCATGAGTTTCAACCTTCCAGTGCGTCTCTGCAAAGAAATTGAGTTGTGAGTATTCTGCCTCATCAGTTTCTTCAGGCACAGATTTTTAATTTGGTTGAACTTAGAGTGAAATGGGTTATGGAATTAGAATCACAAATACCCTCTTGTAGTTTTGTGTTGCCATTTTCCTCATTGGAGGTGATTCCAAATCTTCAGATAGAACTTGGAAGGCCGGATCTCTTTATCTTAAAAAAAAAAGAATCTGAACACCATTTTGAAATGAGTTCACCTAAATGTTAGCTTTTCTCGTTAGTCTTTTACATTCTTTACACCATATATTTGATATTCAAAATGGCATTTAATAACAGATATCTGCGAGTTTTCAGCATAAATTTAAATTTACAAATTAAATTTAAGAATTTAGTAATAATTAGTTCAACTTCCACACTTTGTTTTCTAATCTTGTGTTGGTATATATAATTATTTGTGGTAGGACCTGTGATGATTTGTATGCCCGTTATAAGTGCACGTCAACACTATTTAACGACGTAGAACATCTTCAAAAGTGACCCAGAGCTGATACTCACCTTCTAAGTGAAAATATAGTACTGTTATATTAATTAACCAAGGAGGCCATTCGACTGAGGGGCTCTAATGCCCTGGCTGCCTGTGGAAGCAAACCAAAATCTAAACCTATAAATGCCTCGAGGTTACAAATTGGAAATACTAAGGACAACACGTCACAAAAAGCCAACTAGGCTTTAAGTTGCAGCCAGTCGAATAATGTCCTTTCTCTGCTTCTGCACCTTCTCTCCCCAAGTCTTTCCCCGGGCTTCTGTCTGCGGAGGCTTCCTAACAGCTTCCCGTTTGGCACTGCCCTATTTGAATTGATTTTTGCTCCAATAAACTCTCAAAACATTTAATATGCCTCAGTTTGTCTTTTAACTGAGTATATATAGTATATATTGTGATATAATAAGAAATATGTATATTTGGTCTTTTAGCTACCTTCTGGCACAGAGCTTCAAAAACCCTTGTTATTTCCTGAGTGATGTGGGTGAGAGGGAGTCTTCTGTTATTCATAGTAAACCTTTTTCAACCACTCGTGAGTTTATGCTAAGGAATGACTGTTGGAGGATGGGGGCTGGTTGCCAGAGGAACCAACCCTATGATTAGAAGGTTGGCATTTTCAGCTCCACCCAGGACCTTCAGGGAGGACAGAGGGTCTGGGGATTGAGTTAATCACCGAAGGCCAAAGATTTAATCAGTCATGCCTATGTAATGTACTTCCATAAAAACCCTAAACAAGGGGTTCGGAGAGCTTCCAGGTTGGCAAACACATCAAGGTACCAGGAAGGTGGTGTGCCTAGAGAGGGCATGGAAGCTCTGCGACCCTTCCCACATACCTTGCCCTATGCATCTCTTCCATTTGGCTATTCCTGAGTTGTATCCTTTATAATAAACTGGTAATAGTGTTTCCTTGAGTTCTGTGAGCTATTATAGCAGAGGGGGTTGTGGGAACCCCTGATTTATAGCTGGTAGTCAGAAGCATGTGTGTCCTAGACTTACAATTGGCGTCCAGAGTGGGACTGAGCCCTTAACCTGTGGAGTCTGTGCCAACTCCAGGTCACGTCAGAATTGAGTTGAATTATAGAACATCAACTGGTGTCTGCAAAGGATTGAAGAATTGCTTGGTGTGGAAAACTCACACATTTGGTACCAGAAGCGTTGTAACCAGAGGAAAATGGTTTCTTTTAATACTTTACCATTCTGTTTATTTGGGTTAAATGTTAGTAACTAAATTAGCAAATTTAAAATGGGCAATAACTTTGGATGTTTATATTTATGAATTGTTTCTCTGGATGTAAGTAGGAGAGAGAATAATTTTCAACACTAAAAAAATATTTCCGATAAGGTTTTTTTCCCCCTTATCTAGGAGTTATGTAATATAAGTGTAGTATTCATAATATAACTTTTCTGTGTACTTTTTCATTGCTCTGGTAACAACCACAACATCCTTTTTCACAGATTGTTTATTAGAAAATTAAGCAATGGCTTAAATATTGGACCGGGTTCCTAAGGGAATGTATGGAATTTCCTACTGGAAACCTTTAAATACAACAGAGATGTGACTGAGAAGGCAGGAAAAGAGATGGCTGAACTCCCAGTTTTTTTTTGTTTTTTTTTTTAGATTCTTGATAGACAAAAAGTTAAATTACTTTCTTTACTTGTTGTTATGTTTACCCTAATTATATTTAGAGATAAACTGCGCCTTATTTCCATTTCAGATTCCACTTTGACATTGGTCCTTTTGAAAACATGTGGCCTGGAATTTTTGTCTATATGGTCCATCGGTCCTGTGGGACATCCTGGTATGAATGACCCAAAAACTTCCTTTTTAAACTGTTAAGTGCTATGACCTCTTCCTCTCCCTTCCTATATGCCTTGCCACTTTCTTGGTTGATAATTACCTTAAAATATGCCATATGTAATTACTATTTTTTTCTAAATATTTGAATAAAGCAAAGGTTAAGTTTGTTGGACAAACCCACAGCCTTTTTAGATTTCCCATAGAGGCTGCTGAGCTCTCTGGCAGTGTGGCTGTCCCTTGGCTAACAAGCAGGTAACTAACCAGGTGATCATAAAAATATAGGTTAAGGGCCGGCCCCGTGGCTTAGCGGTTAAGTGCGCAGGCTCCGCTACTGGCGGCCCAGGTTCAGATCCCAGGCGCGCACCGACGCACTGCTTCTCCGGCCATGCTGAGGCCGTGTCCCACATACAGCAACTAGAAGGATGTGCAACTATGACTTACAACTATCTACTGGGGCTTTGGGGGGAAAAAAGGAGGAGGATTGGCAATAGATGTTAGCTTAGAGCCGGTCTTCCTCAGCAAAAAGAGGAGGATTGGCATGGATGTTAGCTCAGGGCTGATCTTCCTCACCAAAAAAAAAAAAAAAAAAATATGTAGGTTAAAATTACTTTAGGCTATTTAAAGTAATTTTAAAAGAGATGGGGTTACTACTCAACGTAATTACATACTGTTTTAAAGTGTGCTTTGGAATATATGCGTAAATTTTGCATCCACTTGCAATTTGCATTATGGAATAGGTGTGAAAGAAACAAGTCTTCTAACTCAAAGCCTTCTGCTTTATTCGTAATTTCATTATGGCCCTCCTTCACTGCAGACCTCTCCCCTCCCGCTCTGGCCTGTCTTAGAGGCCTTTCCTGACTTTATATCTCACCTTTTACAGTGTAGGGGAGCAAGACAAATCCTCTCCCCTCTGGGTCCTTCTGGCTGGGCCATGAATTAAATTGACATGAGACAGAATAACAGGAGAAAATCAAACAAAGCTTTATAACCTGTATACATGGGAGAGACTCAGGAAAACTGAGCAACTCACCAAAATGGCAAGGGCTCTCATCTTAAATACCATCTTTAGCTAAAGACAAGGGAGGATGTTGGGAGTGGGGGGAGTTAGTTGTGGAAGATGCCAGAAAAGCACAGTAAGCAAGAGTAAGGTTATTATACAGATTTAAGTATTGATTTTATCTTGTTTCTTCTATATCTTCTCTAAGTATTGGTTATATCTTATCTTCTGCGTTGATAAGAGTTTCTACAGATAGGGTCATCCCCCCTTCTTCCTGGTACAGAGAGGGAGATACCTTTACAGATGGAGGTTTCCCTTACAAATGTAAATGTCTCTTACAAAGGGTAAATTCTTCTTTTCAGAGCTTCTCCCATGTCTGCAGTTTTTACAAGTAATAATCCTCATTAGCCTAAAATAATCCTCATGCCAAAGAGACACATTTTGGGGTGGCCGATTCTGATCCCCCACAGCAGCCTAAACACACATACTTAGAATGCAAGGAATAATTTTCTTTTTCACTTTATTTAGTGACTCATTAAATGGCTTATAAAGGCTCTTAGTTTCTCTAGAACTAAATGGTCACTCCTTTCCTATTGATTTCTTTGTCTTCTCTTACTTCTCTTAGAGACTTTTGTAAATTGCTGCTTTAAAACACAGGAAAACTAACTCCAGTTATTTCTTAGATATCAATTGAGAGTTTCACCAGTTGGAACTCTTAAAATAGCATACCCTATACTTCAAGGACATTTGAAAAATTTCAGTAGAGAAAATACAGGTTATATATTTTTAGAAGTTTTATGATCTCTCATCTCTTTGGTATTTCAAAGAGCCCTGTTTTATATTGATGTGCTTTTGTTTTAAGCTGCCTTAAATCCATTGAGGGAGTTGGTAGGGCCTCAAATAAGTATAAATACATGATAGTAATACAAAATAAAATACAATAATTTTGTGCAATAAAAATATATGTTATATTCTCTCGTGTACTGTGTCAGGATTTGGATATGGTCATATGCCACTTAATAATTTGAGTGTACCATAATAAATTGGATCCATTTTGAAAAGATAATCACTCATCTAGAAAATCCTCATGATATACATAGTTGCAGTTTGTGAATCTGAGTATGCTTTTTGGAAGATTTTAGCTCAGAGTAGTCTGGAGCAGGATGATAGTCTGTTGTCTCTTGAGCACTGTGGGGTGTACTCTGGAGCAGGATGATAGTCTGTTGTCTCTTGAGCACTGTGGGGTGTAGGGAATGCTTGAACAGTAAGGAAAGTGTTGGGAGTTAATGATGGCAACTGCCTGCTGATTCTGGTATTTGCTCCCTGGTGGGCCAGTTAATAGATCAGAACAGAAGCTGTTAAGGAGTCTTCCTCTCTTAACTGGCTAGAGAAATAGGAGGGAAGTGGTGAGGCTCCAGTGTTCCAGTATTCAGTCTCTATGGAAGTCTTCGTGGTTGCAAGTGTGGAAGAGTACAGACACATGTGTATCTAGACAAAGTTCTCTCCAGAATGTATTGATTCTCTACTGGTTTCTGTGCTAACAATTTCTTTTCCACACAGCTTTGAGCTTGAAAAGTTGTGTCGTTTTATTATGTCTGTGAAGAAAAACTACCGTCGGGTTCCGTATCACAACTGGAAGCATGCAGTCACAGTGGCCCACTGCATGTATGCCATACTCCAGAACAACCACGGGCTCTTCACCGACCTTGAGGTGGGTGTGCACACACTTTCTCCTTCCATTTCAAATAACCTGAGTGGATTTCATGCTGCATGTCTGGAGCACATTTATGACACGAATATGTGACTTGTTGTTCCAGGACAAATTTTGGTTCGGTAAATTAATAGAAGGATATTTTACAGATTGCTATGCCCAAGCATTTATCATATTATTTTGTATAAGAAATGTAGATACAGAAATTCCAACTTCACTAAAATATCCCCCAAGGAAACACTAATTTTTGTAGTCTTTCTTCCCTATTAAAGCTTAAGTTTTCTGAAAGGATGTAACCAAGGTGAGTTTCTCTCATCACTCTTGTGACCTGGATGATGTAGACATGTCCTACTGATTTGAGAACCCGGAGCATTAAAGACAATTAGAACATAGATGCTTATTTGATCTCCTCCAGCATAAGGAAACAAGGGCTTTCTGATGTTTCACTGACTTACCTGACTTTACATACCCAGGGTTGGTTACATACTGAAAGCTCTCCAAATCTCAGAGTTAGAAGGCTTGGGGACTGCCTAGTCCGTTCATGCACCCCTGTGGAACTCCTTCTTCAAACACCTGGCCCAGCGCTTGGTGATCAGAGCGCCTTAGCCCCAGCCATGCTGATCCCAGGTCTAGACCATCCTGACCCCCAAGGGCATCCTCTCTCCACATGGTCCCGATGAAAGCCCTCACTCGAGTCCTCCCTTCTCTCCTCCATAAAACTGGTGTCGTGCTTCAGGAGACATCTAACCATGAGAGAAGGGAGCTGTTATCTCTGTGATAAAGAAATTGTGCTTCTTCCAAGGTCACATTCACATCAGAACCCAGTGCTCCTCAGGTCCAGTTCTGCTTTATTCCATTCTCTCAGACCAAATTCAGTCTGGGCAGGAAATTTGAAAGGTGCGTTTTAGAAAAACATACTAAGACTCAAAATTTTTCTTGTTTTTTTTTTTTTAATAATCTTTAGTTGGGGCTTAGTTTAACCTAATAAATAATTTATTATTTATTACAAAAAAAACAGATGAAATTTGTTCTTTTTTCACATAAGTTTTTCTAAACAATTTTCCATTCGATTGAACCCCACGTTTTTGAGACTTTCAGCATTTTCTCTGTTCAATTTCATTTAAGAAAGCAATTTCATTGTCGTCTTTACCATAGGATAGCCAGTGAGTTTGAGAACTATAGAGATTATACTTTGAAATTGCACTGAAATTTATATTTGAAAATGGAAAATTTTAAGATAAGTGAGAAAAATTTTGTTGCTATATATTGACTCTCATTTAAGTTCCTAATTCATTTCCAGAATTATATTATTATGTTTTTCCAAAAACTCAGGGCTTTTTGGCTAAAAATAAGCCCAAAATAATATATGTAAATTTTTAAAGTATATTTTATAAAGAGGATATTATATCTCTATTAGAGCTACTAGAAATTATTATTTGGTCTTGTTAAAGGAAAATGTTTAACAAAGGTAATTCTTTACTTTGTAAATTATTTTCAGATGCTGAATTCTGGCATATTTATAACAAAACTATTGAACATAATGTCAGTAAAAATAAAATTGGTTAAAAAAATGGGAAAGATGTACATAACAGCTTTTATCTATTATGCAAGATTTTAAAACCTTGAAATTTCTTACCAGATTCATCATGGTTGACACAGCACCATAAAATATGGAAACAACCCCAAAACAAGTTGATACTCAGAACACAACTAATTCAGTTCTCTTAAGACCACTGAGCACATAGGACTGATAACATGCAAACGTTGTCGTCAGTTTAGGGGTGTGGGTGGTCTGGGAGACCTCCCCCCACTTAGGAGGCAGGGGAAACTGGTTCTGCTCCATGAGGATGAGGATGGAGCAGGGTGGATAGATACAGATAAACTTGTGGGGATTTCTGCTGACTCTCCCGCAACCCTCATCAGCATTGCCCTCAGAGGACTCTGCCTTCACACACGCACCAGAAGGATTCCCCTGGCTCCTGTCCAGAGCTGACCCTTCTACTTGACCTTGTCCACCACCTCCACTCTCGAGGGCACTGCCCTTGCAGTTCTCCCCACTGCCTCCTCCATTAGCATGTTGGGTCATATCATCTGCATGTAGCATGCTGTTGTTACTTCAGTCTTAACATACACTCTCCATCTGCCTCTCTGCTCAGCTGCCTCCTGGTTTCTTAGCTCTTCTTTGCTGAAAACCGGCTGGATCCAATTCCTTTCCTCCCTTTTTTCTGAAACCAACTCTGATCAGGCTTCTGCCCCTCACACTCCAGAAAATGCTGTGGTCCAGGTCACCAGTGCCCTGTGCCTTGCCAGCTCTGAGGGTCACTGTCTTCACCTGGCTCCCAGGACAACCAGTACTCCTGGTTTCCTCTGACTGCATTCCTCCTTAATTTTGCTGGATTTGGGGTTTTTTTGTTTTGTGTTTTTGCTGACTCTTTCTCTTCCCTGAGACTTCTTAAAGTTGGAGTTTTGAGGGCTAGACTTTTGACCGCCTATGCCCTCACACAACAGCCTTGGTGAGCTCATCCAGTCCTGTGGCCGTAAATGCCATATATACACCGACCATTTCCTTTCTCCAGCAGAGACCCATCCTCCGAAGGTTAGACTTCAATAGCCAACTGTCAACTCAAAATCTCCCCTGACTGTCAATTACACATCTCACCTCAATCCAAAACTGAACTCCTGCCCTCTCTCCTCCAACCTGCTCCACCTGCAACTTTCCCCATCTCAGTTGATGACGATCTTACAGTTTCTAAGGCAGAAAACGTTGGAGTCATGCTTAACTCACCCCTCTCCCCTCCCGGTCCTGCCCTTCTTTCCTTTCACACCCAGGCTGCTGGAAAATCCTGTTGACTCTGCCTGCAAAATCCATCCAGACTTTAATCACATCTCATAAGCCTCCATTGCTAGCATCCTGGTCCAAGCTTCTGTTATATTTTGCTGGAATGACTGTGAAAACCTTCTCACTGGTCTTTCTTACCATCCTGGAGGCTGTACTTAATACAGTCGCCAGCATGGTGATCTGTTAAAAATGTAAGTTCAGAGCCAGCCCTGATGGCCTAGTGGTGAAAGTCCTGCACTCTCCACTTCAGTGGCCTGGGTTCACTTCCCGGCTGTGGAACCACACACCTGTGTCAGTTGCCATGCTGTGGTGGCCGCTCACACAGAAGAACTAAAAGGACTTACAGCTATGATATACAGCCATGCTCAGAACTTTGGGGAGAAGGAAAAGAGAAATGTGGGTTAGATGATGTCACCACTCTGCTAAGAATCCTGTGATTGTCCCCTGGTTCGTGCAGAGTAGAAGGCCTCTAAGGTCTTCAGCTTCCCTCCCCTGCCTGTCTTCTCTGTCCTCCTCTCCTGCAGCCCCTGGGCCACTTTCCTGATCCTCTGACTCTCAGGGCGGGCTCATCTGCAAGGATGTGCTCTGCCTGCCTCCCCGCCCGCCCGCGGGCTCTTTCCCTGGACCGCCCTGCTTCTCTCCTTCAGCTTCAGGTCTCTGCTCACCTCTGTCTTTCCGTGGCCCACCCTGTCTGCTTTCTTTGGGCCCCTCCCTGTCTCCTGCTAATCCCCGTCAGCTTTCTCTGCCTTTTCTCCTTTTCTGTGTAAGATGCCGTTTTCTCACATGCCTTATTTACGATGACAAAAACACTGTTAGAATCTAACGTTGAATAGATTTTTGAATAAAGGACGGAAACTGTCCTCTCCTGGTGCAGATTTGCTTCCTCTGTAGTTCTTTGAAACATTCGCTTTCATTTGATGCCACCTGCACTTTTTCCCCGAGCTGAGCAGGAAAACTCAAGAGTGATTTGACTGTCAAGTTCATAAGCAGAAAAACAAAGAAAAGGTTAAGAAAGAAATTAGATTATCTGGAATTTCAAAGATTCGTAAGGATGTTGGCAATAGTAATGGCAGAAGTTGCTGTGGTAGGGATGGTAAGCTGTCAGTCTCCTCGTATCCCGTTCCTCTGTTTTGAACATCTGTGCACTGTGTTACTTTCTTAAGCGCAAAGGACTGCTGATCGCGTGTCTGTGTCATGACCTGGACCACAGAGGCTTCAGTAACAGCTACCTGCAGAAATTCGATCATCCTCTTGCAGCTCTCTACTCCACTTCTACTATGGAGCAGCATCACTTCTCCCAGACGGTGTCCATCCTCCAGGTGAGACGACCCAGGGCCACGGGCATGCCCACTGCCTCTGCTGTGTTGGAATGATCTTCTGAGAGATATTAGCGCTTTATAAGTAAAAGAGGAATATTGTTATGGCTTCCTTTAAAACTAGTAGCTACATTTTATTGCAGAACCTTATATTTCTAGTCGTCATTAGATAATTTTGGTTTTTGGTTAGATAATTCTTTGTGAAGATTTTGAATATATATGTTTTATAATCACATTTGACTTTTAAATACGTGATCCCCTAAGGCAAATTTTGTTTCACGTACTTTAATTTAATTTATATGGATTGTCATATTCTTGGACCAGAATGTATTGAACAATCAGTCTTGAAAGTTAGACAAATTCAAGGTTTTAAAACCTTACATTGAAGTCCTTTTATTTTTTTCTTTGGTGTGTTTTGTTTTTTATTTTATGGTTTTTAAGATATTCTTGGTGATTGATCTGGATGACAGATCTCACTTCACTGTAAGATATACATGTTCCTTCACTCTAAACCTTTTCCTCAAACTCCCCTTGACAAGGTAACTATTGCTTCCTAATGGTTTGATTCTTCTCAAACGTTTGCCTTAAGAATAGTGGACCCCATTTCCTCCTTTCACTGTCAGTCCCTCAGAGGAGGAAGAGAAATCCACATTAGGTCCCCTGATTCTGTGTCTAGGGGAAGAGTTTTGAACTTTCAGGGCTGCATAACAAAACCTTGACAGCGCCTTTAGCGGTGACTGGCTGGAGGCAAGTTGTGAAGCAGGAAGGTGCCGGGCAATTGGTGCACTTTCTGTGCAGCCCAGGCCTCCCTCTGGACATCCAGGGTTTTTTTCTTCCTCCCATCAGCTTCTCCTGGTGGCTCCTCATTTGTCCTAACTGCCCAAGTGATTGGTAGTATTGCATGCTCGGGCCTTTGCAAAACCCAGCAAAACTTACTGTCCAGGTCCCATTTCCTCAGGCCTGAGATGGTAAAAGATGACCTTGCCAAGTGCAAGCGCTATTCTGATTACTTGCTGGGTAAAAGTGAGAGGTGTTTTAGCCCTGGAGCTGTTTCAGTCACCTTCCAGCCATATCCTGCAGGAAGCGGAATGTTCCGCTTGCTCATGGGCTGGTTCTCTCCCTGAAAGCAATTAATCACCATTCCTGATATTCCCTTGACACCAATCATTTTTTTATTTTTTTAATGATATATGGATGGATGGATGGATAGATACATACAGATATAACCTAGAAATTTAAGCAGGGTAAAAGATGTGTGTGGGTATGTGTATGTGTGTGTAAAGCATGCTTTTTGTAAATAGACGGATATTATAGAACTTGATGACAGTTTATAACTGCTGTGACCTTACTCATCACTTGAGTCTGTTGATTGGTACGGGAAGAAGGGTGAATGCCAGAGATGACATCAGGATGCCTCCATTTAGAAATAATTAGGACTCACTGAATTAGCACCCCATGTCCTAAATGAATTCATGCATTTGACTATGACAACATTTCTAGCAATTTAATCTGCAAAGGAATTTTCATAGCCTTTATAACATTTCTTTGGAAAAGTTATTTTAAACATAATAGAGTTAGTTTTGAAATAGGCCAGGATTGCAAAGTACATTGCCGCTGGGTGGAAAAGTACATTAAACCATGTAATCTAGCAGTGATACAAAGCAGGCGGGAATGGAGGGGCCTGGACCCCCCCCGAGGAAGACTGGCCCCATTTGCTGCCATCAACAACAGAGGTTCAGAGTGGTTTGTCTCATTTTCAGCAAACCCTCAGCAATGTGGGGGTTCCAGATTACATAATGCAGTGTTCTTAGAATGATCAGAACACGGTAACTGGAGCTCATGGCACTAAGTTAAGCTCAGGCATGCTGTTGGTATCTAGAGAGTTGTTGGAGAAAAGTTAGATTCTAGGTATGAAAGATGGGGTTTCCATCACTGGTGAGGTGATAATAAGGACACACTTGTTCTCCTGTCTTTAGAAACTCAATAGCTTACAGGAGCAGGAAGGCGGGAGGAGGAACTGGGCATTGCCGTAGATACAGGTGAAAAGCCCGCCATTTAAAAACTGAATCCGTATCCTGGATTGGCCAAAACCTCCTGTGTGAGCTGTGACGGGGAGAAGCATATTGGGGCCATAAACAGATGGCCCCATCTCCGTGGGCAGGAGGATTCAGGAAAGGTATCCTTCCTTTTCTGGAAATTTCTATGCTCTCTGCTGATTTTACATTTTTGCTCATGATGCTTCTCTGAGTATTTCTTCTCAGATCCATGAAATTCAGTTCAATAGCAAACATCTTTATTGAGTGCCTCCCAGCTGCCAACACCCCTTTTAGGCCCAGGGTGGGTAGTGAATGAGGAAAGTCCTCCACCTCAGGAGCTCTGCCTTCACCCTGCTCTTCTCATGGCTCCACCAGCCCGCCATCTTGGGTCCCCGCCGTCTCTAATAGGCTGGAGCTCTCACATCTGTGTCTCAGCCCCAGGTGCCGTAAGACTTCTGCTTCTAAACACTTGAACTTAGCATTCAGTGTGGCCTAAATTGTGCTTATGATTTTACATCTCCTGTGGGGGTGGCCTCATTCACCCAACCACATGAGTGGGCGACCTCAGAGTCATCATTTCCCCTCCCACTGGCCCCCACATCCATTCCTCAGGTCCTGCCAATTTTATGTTTTGTCTAGACACCTCCAGACTTGACCAATGAAGGTGATATCCCTGGGTAACCATAAAAATTCCAATTTCCAGTCACTAAACTATGAGACAGAATAGTATATCGTTACATCACATGGACACCTGTGATATCTCTGTTTATCCACAGTGTTTACTGTCTCTGCAGATATTCTTTATCACTGCTGCTACACAGATGGTCATGGGTCTGGAACTGTCTGTCCTCAGGCAACATGGCTGGATAGAAAATAGACAACTCAGCGTACAATGGTTGGAAACAGTGCCCATCAGGCTTTCTCAAAGCTGTGTGTGTGTGTGGCTGCGTGTCATAGTTTTGTTAACCCGAGTGCGGCTACTGTTGCCTATTGGATAAGCTACTGTTGCCTATTGGATAAGCTGGGCAACCAAAGGGAGCATGGAGACGAGCACTCCTGGCTGACCACAGCAACATCAACAAACAGAAGGAATGAGAAAGCTAACCTCAGGCTAACACACACACAAACACGTAAATGTTCACGGTGCAGAAAGGCAGGAAGAGTGTATATTCGGTTAAAGCGTGCCCTCACTTCTGTCACAGTGAGAGATGCAGCGGGCGGTCCTTGTTGAGTGGGCAGTGGGAGGAGGTTAAGTCATGAATGAAGTAAGGAGAGGTATCAATCATCTAGAGAAAAAATAAGTCTGCGTTCTTAGCTTTTGCTGAGCTGCCCTTTGTCTCTTCATTCTGGGCGTCAGGACTGTTTCCTGGTAATTGGGGCCCGTCGCTGGGTCTAGGTCGTGATGGGTCTTCAGGAGAGAGGAAGTTCCCGCCTGGCCTCTGTAGCGAATGCTGAGCTGGCCTCTCTGACCACTGCAGCCTCCTACATGTCCATCGAGGGCCTTTCCTACCTGACATGCCAAATTCGGCCTTCATCATACTTTGTCTGTTTGACCGCCTTTTCTTCCTCATTGATCACCATTTCTCCAAGCTCGTGTCTCTCAAATCCATCTTCCAAATATTTGTTTGAACATGTTATTCTTCTGTTGAAAAGTCAACAGTGGCCCCCATGGCCTCAAAAATAAATTCTGTTTCTTACTTGATATACAAGTCTCTAATGAATGGCCTCTGCCTGTACCTGTTCCGGACTGTCTGTTAACTCTGTGCCGCTGTCTAGATTCCCTCTATGTGTAATTCTCTCCCGTTGCCTTTCTGTGGCCAACCTCTCCTTATTTAAGGCTCAGCTCAGGCGTTACCTCCTCCAGTGAAATTGTTTTATGACATCCCCACAGAGCTGGGGCAGCAACGTTCCCCTTTTACACGGCCCCTGAGCCCCTGGAACATACACATAACTTAGTTTTTTTCACATTGTGTTGAGGTTTTCTGTTTGTGAGTTAACTTTCCCTTCCTCTGAATTATAAGCCCGATGAGGACGGTCACTGCCCCTCATTCATTCCCAGAACTGTGGGCCTAGCACTGGATCTGTTAATGTGGGCAGATGTGGTCACATGAAGGCAGAAACATGGGTATGAGAGAAGTCAGAGTAGGCAAAACAATATGTGCAAAGTTTGGAAACTGGAAACTGTGTTTTATTTAGGGGAACCTGAGTAGATATGTCTCCTTGGGACAAAGTTTAGGTGGCTCAATAGTAGAATGTAAGTGGAAAGCCTTCAACTAAGGAGATTATTTTGTGTGGACAGTGACATTTAGGAAAGTAGGGAAGCTGTATTTTCTTATCTAAAACTTACCCATGTATGTTTAGCAATTGTGATAGAACCATTAGTGTTGGAATATTAAATCCGTTTATTCTGTTTCCTAATGAGATGTTAATGATTATTTTGTTGAACATTGAAGCTACCCTTTATCTGTCTTTTGTCTTCTGTGACTATCCCATGTTAAGTACTCCAAAATCAAAATTTTAGAAAACAGACCAATTAGGAATGATTATTCTTATTATTAAGAAAATTTGCTGGATATTCCATTAATCTTGGATTACCTAGTGTTTTTGAAACATGTTCAGATTTTAAGAAGGTTATCTTTATACTCAACATTTTAGGATCTTATGACATTTTCATGACTTTATATAGCAGTAACATTTCTGTGACACAGCTAAAGTGTTTTTCCAATTTGTCTGCATTAGGTCGAATTTATTGTTGTCTATTGTGATTATAGCAAAATTGTTGTAGCTAAATTCAACACTCCCTTTACTAATAATCTAAAATGTATGGCACAGAGGCTAGCTTAAGTCTATCCTTTTCTACAGATATATTCTGAATAGAAATGGTCTTTGGCCACCAAATTCATTTCTAGGCATATTTGTTTGTTTGTTTCTCCTTCTCTCTCTCCCTTCACTCTAACTGCAGAAGTTTTACTGGTAGATTTTATCATCATCATCATCATCACCGTCATCATCATCATAATTATTTGTTGGGTACTTACTATATACCAGAAACTTAAGAATTTTGTACATATTAATACATTTGATTTTTAGAGTATCCTATGAGATAAGTATTATTGTTCATTTCTATTTTACAAATAAGAGCAGGGAGCATCAAAGAGGTTAAGGAACTTGTCCATTGTCACATAGCTAGTCAGTGGCAGAATGGGATTAAAAACCAGAATTGCTTGACTCCAAAACTTGGGTTCTTAATTACAATACTATCATTCTTCTTTGTACGTGTCTTGCTGTAGTAGGTGATTATATATCAAAATCAGTGTTATATATCTTTTAAAGGCATTCTTGTTGTGAACACTTGGTGCAATTAGTTGCATCATTGACTTTTTTTCATGGCGAAGCCCTTGAATGATTCAGCCCCTGCCTGTGGCTTCCTGTAGTTGTGATTTACAGCCCAACTGGGGCAAGATTGCTGAGAGGTAAGGCCTGGACTGTTGGCACACAGGTACTGAAATCTGAGCTCCAGTGCCCTTCCCTAAGAATCTCTTTTATAGAGTTAAGCAGCATAGGGCTTGGCAGGGAATTACTCCTGATAAATAATAATTTAAAAGCTGCTGAGGAAAGGTTGGTCAGTCTGCCCTTCTGCCTCCACTCTGGCCTACCTGCAGCCCACCTTGTTGCCAGAGCGATGGTTCTGAAACCCGACCTCATCGTGTCACCACCTTATGTAAAATCATCAGTGGCTCCTTGTCACCTTCCAGACAGTCATTCAGTTCTAGCGTAAGGCCTTTTTTTTTAAGCTCTGTTACTTGAATTCTCACTGTTTCTCTGTTGCAACAGTTTGCTTTAGCAGTACTGAAATTTTGGTAGTTCCCACCAAACGCATGTGGTCTCGTGCTGCTCCGTGTACACCTTCTGCTGCTCCTGCTTCTGCTATGGGTCCTGCAGAAATTGTGTCCCCACCTGGGAGAAGCCTCCCATGTTCTTCCCTAGTCCTCCACTTAACTCAGTCACAGACACCGTTCTGCTCTGCTCTGTTCTGTTGTGTGCTTATATGCTTCTCTCTCCCACTAAAGTGCCAACTGCTTAAAAAATGAACTTCTATTGTTCAAGGCCTTGGCTATAGTTGGTGCTAAACTGCTGATATCCTTACACAAAGTGAAAGGCTACGGCTAAATATCTGCTAAATAAAGACGCATGTTCTTCACTGTGTCATGGGAAAGATACAGCTGTGGCAAGAAAGAAGTGTTCCAGCTGTGAATGAGGGTGCTGAGAGTCCTTAGTGTTGTCATGTCTGGGAGCCAGGAGCGGCCCTACGGATCATCCACTCAGAGTGGGCCCCCGAGGAGTCTTTCAGCCCCAGAGCCAAGTTGAGCCTTGTTTACCTTCTCTAATATCGCGCAGATCTCAGGACTGCAAGTATCTGCAAACAGAGTCCACTCGTGTGCTTCCCCCGAGATAAGAAGTCTATGCTGCTCACCCGGTGTTGGGTTTTAGGAACGTTCCTGGGTATACAGTGCTTGTTATTTCATGTTTGATTGATTCAAAGTGGGATCACCTGCCTTGAAGTAATATAAACCTCAAAAAATGTAACCTGGGATATTAACTATAATACATTCATCAACTGGGATGTTAAAGTATTACATTACTTTGTGAGGTTTTACTATGTTATTAACTAATGTGAAATTTGAGCTTTGCAAAGATTTTAAGCCGTTTATCTGTTGAGTTTGGTTGTTTATATCTCCCTTATTTTCTCCTGTTTTGGTAGGAGCAGAGTGATAAACATATACTAGATTCTCTTGAAGAAAAGGGGGTCGTTTTATCGTTCATTTATTCATTCATCCCCTTTACTCTTGTAAAATACTAAGGAGGCAGTAAAAGCATCCTGGGTACAACTTTTCATTATAAAGGTCCTCCACTGAACTTTTTCTACCACATTTCCTCTACTATGGAAAAGTAATAAAAGAAATCATGAATCTGAAATAGCCAGCAGAATATGCCCATCCTCTAAAATGGGTTTTATTTTGTCTTAGATCATGGATACTTTTCAGAATCTGATGAAAACAAGTACTTATGGATGGCACATCGACATATTATAGATAGTTAAGTAATAGTTGCAGTGAGTTCATAACTCTGTGGTCCCCGAGAGAACTAATAGACCAGGCTAAGAAGTCCCTGTTTTAGAGAGATTTACCAAAAAAAAATTTCAACAGTGCTAGAATTTTTTTTTTTTTTGTGAGGAGATCAGCCCTGTGCTAACATCTGCCAATCCTTCTCTCTCTTTTTTTTTTTTTTTTTGCTGTGGAAGATTGGCCCTGGGCTAAGATCCGTGCCCATCTTCCTCCACTTTATATGGGATGCTGCCACAGCATGGCTTGCCAAGCCGTGCGTCGGTGTGCGCCCGGGATCTGAACCAGCGAACCCCAGGCCACCGCAGCAGAGCATGCGCACTTAACCGCTTGCGCCACCGGGCCAGCCCCTAGAATGTTTTTTAGACACTATAATTTCACAGTTTATGGTGACAGAGAGGATAAAGCATGTAAATATGTATTACACGTGATGCTCTTCAGGCAGCCTGCCAATAGCAGATGTCTGCATGAGGACCAACCAAACGTGCTCTGATTTGAAACATGTTTATGAGGTGGGGGCACAGGTCACAGGGCATTGAGTGATAAAGCAGAGACCAGCTGCTTCACCTGAGTTATGATCAAATCAAAGCAAAGCAGATTTCACAGCAGAAGTCAGAGAAAAGACTTCCTTCTTATAACTTTCCACAATAAAATTGTAGGGTTGAGGTTGGAAGGGGCTTAAAAGGTCCAACTGCCCAGTGCTTGAATCCCCTCCCCTGGTCCCCATCGGTTACTAACCAGCCTGTGCTTGGACATCTCAACCCACGGTGTCTCTTACATGTTCCACATGGTAAACTCTGAACATTTAGGCGACTCTGCCTCGTGTTGAGCTGAAGTCCATCCTTATCACGTCCGCCTCTGGCCCTGTTGTATTCATGAAAGCTGCTTCCAATGAGATTGCATTACTAAAAGTACTGAAATGAGCAGTGTCTAGAAGCACTACAGTTTCTCTTTAGTCAAAGAAAAATCTTGTTAATGTTTCAGCAGATACCTCATTTCAGATAGACATCAAAGATTTATTTAAATTTTATAATTTCAAAGTGAAATCATGTGTGTGAAACTGCTTTATAAACTTAGAGCATTCTACAAATTTAAGGCCTTACTGTTATTATTGTCACGAAAATAACCAACTAGAACTAATACCATTTGCTACATTTATCATAAAATAATTTAACTATTTATGAAACCTTAAGAATAAATAATACAGAAAGATTCTGATGATTGAAAACAAATGGTGCACATACAGCCTATTTCAGAGTAATAGGAAGCAGACGATGTCTTATTGAGATGTCTGATTTTGTCAAGAAATATACCTTAATAATTTGAAGTTGTTAATGTATTTTGTCAGCCAGTAAATGTAGCTTATAAAGTGAAAATAATTAAAAATCAACTTGTGTTAGGACTATGTTGACTAAAAAGGAAATAATTTAAAATAATTGATGCACCCACAAATTGAATGCATTTTAATCATCTCAACCTTTTTTGCTTGAGCAAAAATGACCCATTTTTATCTCAATTACCAATAAAAACTTTAATTGTAAAGTTTTTAAAAGATTCATAGACAAAAGAATAATTCTGAGATATTAGAATCCAAATGACCAAAGTTTTGGTCTTGTTTAGGGTGGTGATCTGCTAGCTATGCCCCGTCTCCCCTGAGGACAGAAGAAGAGAGCATGGCCCTACAGTTTTTTCCTCTCAGTGATTCGTGTTTTATGTAAAATTGTTCTTGCCTATAGGGAGAGTTTTTAATATGCCTAAATAAACTTTATTTTGAGGTTGTGGACCATTTTCTCCCCGGATACAGAAAAAGTAAGTTATTATTCTTTAGACTTGCTGAAGTGGACAAGGATATAAATGACTTTTTAAGCCCATTAATTTCCAGTATAATATAGAAATTACTAAAGTTTTTAATTCGTTTAGGAGGAAAAGTCTTTTCTTTAAATATTTTGCATTTTCCAGTTCTTTAATTACTTACTAGAAATACCAAAAACTAGGTATATATTTAAATCACTGGGATTTTGTGGTAACAAATACTGTTACTGTAGTTTAAATAGTTCATTTAAGTGGTAGCTTCATTGTTATAGCTTAAAGAGAAACCAAAATGTTAATTTCATTAGTCATTTCAGACTGTTGCTTTGTTCCCTCAAGACTTGTCATTTGTGTGCCAATTGCAATTGACTGACTATATTGTTTGGAGTCACTGAAAATGTCATGAGGTTAGAGCTTGTGCTTGTTATTGGTGGTGTTTATTTGTATTTTTTCCGTAGTTGGAAGGGCACAATATCTTCTCCACCCTGAGCTCCAGTGAATATGAACAGGTGCTTGAAATCATCCGCAAAGCCATCATTGCCACGGACCTGGCTTTATACTTCGGAAACAGGAAACAGTTGGAGGAGATGTACCAGACTGGATCGCTAAACCTTAATAATCAATCACATAGGTAAAAATAAATTTTAAAAGTTTAGAAGCCCAGGAAATGTTATCTGGAATAAATTTATGTTTAAAAACAGAAATGCAGTTTGGCATAAATTTATATTTGAAAAAGAAATGTAAAGAAATGCATGTGATTTTTTTTGTTGTGTTATGTGCACTTTGTATGTTCTTTGGATATTTTATTATTTGACAAAATTGCTGACAGTATATTGTGAGGATAATTAAAATATGAATTGGAACTTAAACTGGTCACACAGGAGTGGGTGCTTTTAAAGGGAAGTCATTTTCCAAGAGGCCTCTCCTTGAGTTTATCACTCTAGGGCTTGGTCATTGGCCTCACAGACTCAAAAGCAAATGAAAATGGATTCATTTTTCAGAATCCAAATCCTATTAACCAAGCTCATGTGATTGATGTATAAAATTGGAATTCCATTTTGTTGATCTACAAATGTATGTTCTAGTTAAAAGCATCAGAATATTGGTATTCTGTGTGGTTGGAATCACTTGGCAAGTCAACTGGCAATTAAAAGTTTGTTTCACGAACATAGAGTCTGAACAAGGAGAACTAGATTACTTAACTGTTCTAATGGCATCAGTCTAAATTAGTCTGATTGCTTCCTTTCTGAGAAGGCATGTCTTGCAAGTAGATTCAGAAATATGTCAGGTGCATTCCTTGTGAACCCGTCCACCCATCTCTATGCTACATCTCAGTCCACTGGCTAAACCACCTCTCCTTCTTGTCAGCTTGTACATGGGTTCCACCAGCTGTTATTGCTAGGACTTTCCTTTTGCTGTTTCCATGTCTGACCAAGTCCATCTTAGGTGATGCCATCTTTATCTTTAGATTTGTGAACATTCATTTCCTGGTTCTATTCTAGTCTTGCTGAACGTGGGTCTGTTCTCTTTGTTCAGATGCTTTACATTCCTCTTCTGTGATCCATTAAGTACTGATTGTAACATTCGTTTTAGAGGAACCTCTCTTTTCAAGTTCCTAGAAGCCATTCACTCAGGTAGCCCAAACACAAAACATTAGATTTACAGATGAATATAGATATGTAATAAAGTTTACCTCTTCAAGGATGAGATATCCATATGATATAATGATACCCATGCCTTTGATTAAGCAGCAATTACTGGTGATTCAATTTACCTTCTAACGGGCAGATCCAGATTTTGTGGAGCTTGAAAATTACACAATTTGGGGAACCTTCTTTAAGGAAAACAATAGAAAGATATCTTATTTTCACATAGGGCAGTCTGAACACTGAATAAATTTGAAAGTGTTTCCTCTGCTTTTATCCTCTGAAAAGGATTATGGAGAATTGGTATAATTTCTTTTTTAAATATTTGGTAGAATTCACCAGTGAACCATTCTGTGCCTGGTTCTTTCTGTTTTGAAACGTTATTAATTATTGATTCAATTTTTTAATAGATATAGGCATTTTCAGATTGTCTGTTTCTTCTTGTGTGAGTTTTGGCAGATTGTATCCTTCAAGAAATTCGTCCATTTCATTGAAGTTATCAAACTATGGGCACCGGATTGTTCATAATATTCCTTGATCATCCTTTTAATGTCCATGGGATCTGTAGTGCTGTCCCCTTTGTCATTTGTGATATTAGTGATACATATCCTTTCTCTTTTTTTCTTAAACTGGTCAGAGGCTTATTGATTTTATTGATATTTTCAAAGAAACGGCTTTTGGTTTAGTTGATTTTCTCTGTTGATTTCCTATTTTCACTTTCATTGATTTCTGCTCTAATTCTTCTTCTTATTTCTTTCCTTCTGCTTATTTTGGATGTAATTTGCTCTTCTTTTTCTAGTTTCCCAAGTGGAAGCTTAGATTATTGATTTTAGATCTTCTTTTCTAGTATATGCATTTTAATGCTATAAATTTGCCTCTAAATATTGTTTTTACTGCATCTCACAAATTTGGTTATGTTTTTATTTGCATTTAGTTCCGAATATTTTTTTCTCTTGATTTTTACTGCGACCTGTGTGTTATTTAGAAGTGTGGTATTTAATCTCCAAGTATTTGGGAAAGATTTTCCGGCTGTTTTTCTTTTACTGATATCTAGTTAATTCCATTGTTGTCTAACAGCATACATTGTATGATTTCTATTCTTTTAAATTTGTTAAGGTGTATTTTATGGCCCACAACATGGTCTATCTTGGTGAATGTTCCATGTGAGCTTGAAAAGAATGCCTTTTCTGCTGTTATTGGATGAAGTAGTCTACAGATGTCAATTATATGCTGTTATTTGATGAAGTTATTGAGTGCAACCATGCAACAGATTTTTTGCCTGAAAGATCTGTTCATTTCTGAGAGAGGGATGTTGAAATCTCCAGCTGTAGTAATGGATTCATCTGTTTCTCTTTGCAGTTCTCTCAGTTTTTGCCTCTCATATTTTTATGTTCTGTTGTTGGGTGCATACTTGTTAAGGACTGTTGTGTCATCTTGGAGTATTGACCCCTTTATCATTATGTAATGCTCCTCTTTATCCCTGGTAACTTTCCTTGCTCTGAAGTCTGCTCTTTGTAAAATTAATATAGCTACTCCCATTTTCTTTTTTTTTTTTTCATGAGGAAGATCACCCCTGAGCTAACATCCATGCCAATCATCCTCATTTTTTTTTTTTTTTTTTTTGGCTGAGGAAGACCAGCTCTGAGCTAACATCTATTGCCAATCCTCCTCCTTTTTTTTTTTTTCCCTTTTTCTCCCCAAAGCCCCAGTAGATAGTTGTATGTCATAGTTGCACATCCTTCTAGTTGCTGTATGTGGGATGCCTCCTCAGCATGGCCAGAGAAGCGGTGCATCGGTGTGCGCCCAGGATCCAAACCCGGGCCGCCAGCAGCAGAGCGCGTGTACTTCACCACTAAGCCATGGGGCCAGCCCCTCCCATTTTCTTTTGATTAATGTCAGCATGGTATATCTTTCTCCATCAATTTACTTGTAATCTATATGTGTCTTTATATTTAAAGTGGTTATCTTGTAGACAACATATAGTTGGGTCTTGTTTTTTGATCCACTCTGACAATCTCTGTCTTTTAATTGGTATATGACATTTAAAGTGATTATTTATATAGTTGGATTAATATCTGCCATACTTGTTATTGTTTTCTATTCTTTGGCCTTGTTCTTTGTTCCTATTTTTGTCTTCCACTCTTTTTCTGCCTATTCTGGCTTTAATTGGTCATTTTATATGATTCCATTTTGTCTCCTTTCTTAGCATATCAGCTATACTAATTTTTTTTAGTGGCTGCCCTTAAGTGAAAGATTTTTTCAGAACTTAAAGCCAGTAAGAACATGAAATTTTGCTCAATATCTTTAGTCATAAAGATATTGAAACCACAGTGATATACCACTACACATTCACTAGAATGGCCAAAATTAAAACGACCGACAATACCAAGTGTTGACAAGTACGTGGAGCTACTGAAATACTAATATTTTGCTCATGGGAGTATGAAGTATACAACTGCTTTAGAAAATAATTTGGAAGTTCCTTATAAAGCTAAGTATATGCTTACTCTGTGACCTAGCAGTTCCACTCTTAGGTTACTCAAGAGAAGTGAAAGTGTTACTATGTTCAGACAAAGACTTGGACACAAATGTTCACAGTAGCATTAACCATAATATGTCCAGACAGTAGACAACCCAAATGTCCACCAACAGGTGAATGGATAGACAGTTTCTGGCATTTATACAGTACAATACTGTACTATTCAGCAAGAAAAAAAATTAGGAACTGCTAATTCATTCAACAACATGGACGAAACACACAGACATTATGTTGAGCAAAGTAGTGCATACCATAGGAACACATTTTTATGACGTTCTAGAATAGGCCAAACAAATCAATAGTATAAGTGATTGGGATAGAATTCAAACTGGCAATTGTCAAGGTAGGATGAGGGACATTGCCTGGGAAAGGGCAGAAGGGATTTCTGGGTGATCAAAAGGCTCTTTGTCTTCATGGGTGTGGTAGTTACGGACTGTATACATTTTCACATTCATTGAACCGTATACTTCAAATTTATGCATTTCATTCTATATAAATTACACCTAAATTAAAATATGAGAGATAAAAATATACAATCTAGAAATTTGATTGTGTGATAAAATATGAAACATTTTTGTTTCAAGTGTTTTTTTTTTCTTAAACAAGATAGAGTATGTGAATTATAGCAGTATGCCTTTAAATAAAATCATTAAAAAAAAGATGGAATGGTCCTTAATTCACCAAGTGACATCAAATCTCATTTCTGTGAGGTGATTAGGAGTTGATAAGCTTATGGAAGCAGTCCACAGAATTCTGCATGGTCATGAGTAAGCCTTTCATCCATATTAGAGTTACCAGTGAGTGTAATATACACACATTTCACGTGGCTTTAGTAGCCTTTCGTAGATTTCTTTGCGGGAGATTCTGGAATGATGTATGTAAGGAATTGCCTAATTGGAGCCCTGCTGTGTTGTCCTAGGAGATTGAAGGCATAGAATTCACACAGGAGGCTTTTTCAGACAGGCTCAGAACTGCCCTCGAGGCTGCTGAAAACCCTTCTTTTCTTCTCCTCTCCATTTTCTAGAGACACTTGTTACACTTGAGTTAATCCAGACATCATTGCCCCTGTGACTAGGATGTGTATCCCCCCGCCTGTCCTTTTCATAGACACGGGTCTGCTCCAAAAGTCCCACACATGACATCATCTGTATCTTGACAGCCGTTTCTCCAGCAGGAGCCGAAGTTTGCAGAGAGATATTTTACCACAGTGGTAGAAATAGGTCAGTTGGGTGCTGCACAGAATGGACAGATACCATCTCTGAATTATGCTAGTTTTTATATCTGACTCTTCATTTTCTGGCTCGAGCAATTCCTTTTCAAAGAAACACGAACAAGTGCTCTCTTCCCTGATTCCACTGGCCTTAAATGCTGATGTCATCCCAGGGGCAGGTGCCCCCAGTGCCAGCTGTTCCTCAGTCACCATAGCAGGGGGTTCAATGATTCACC